AATGAAGAGACTCCCCACGTCCTACGAGGCGTAGCGCAAGACTGCTAAGGCGCACCGGCCGCCACTCTGCAGCGCAGGAACGATTACTTTTCCCAACCAACTTATCAAATGAATTGTCGGCTTCGTGACCAGAACTGTGAGTGATGCGCGTGAGAGCTCGCACCCTCCCGAACTCAACCACTGCAGGCCAGGAGGCCCCGCGATAGACAGCGTGACCCACGAGACTGGGACACGCTGAAATTAGTACTAAATCGGGCGGGGGGCATTTCTCAAAGGCATAGCACTGCATAGGACTAACGTGGCACAGTGAGCCATGACACTAACTTCAAGTTGTTGCCCCAACCAAGGCAGCCCTCTCCCCGATGGCCTCCCTCCCCTCACCTCCCCAGGTTCCAGGTGGAAACACCCTGGCATCCCCAAGGCCCCGGTTTACTGCACTGGCCTCCGAGGAGGCCCTGTGCCCGCACCTGTCCTTCGTAAGTCGATTCCCCTTCGGTGTCCCCTCTGGGCCTCCAACTGGTACAACGCCTTTATGATCTCCCAGGAGATGGTGTTTCCTCAAGTAAAAACTCCACATCACTGGCTGTTCCGCTTCCAAACTCCGTCAGCTCCTGGGAAGATCACCTTGGAGGCGACGCTTACCTCACGAATTCAGACCCAGGCCATCTCCTGCATGTCCCCACAGCAGCCCGTACACCTCTGCCTCCCAGCATCCCACCCCGAGGCTGTGAGCATCCTGAGCACACAGGTCCTGCTAGGTCCACTTCTGTGTCCCCAGGCCCCAGTCCAGGATTGTGGCATGTCTGTCAAAGGACTGAATGAAATCTTCTACTGGGGCTGACACAGTTGGTACCCGGCCTGTGTGCCCCTTGGCACTTGAGGTCAATAACAGCTTCCTCAATATATGTGGGGAGGCGGAACATCTTCTCTGCCCAAGAGATTCTGCTAGCCGAGGAAGCGCCCTTTGCTCGTGCAGGAGGCAAGTTTGCTGTGCAGGAGGCTTGAGGCCGTCGGGAGCATCCTTCAGCCATGGAGGCCTCACACTTGCAGGTGAATGGCCCGGAGAAAAAAGGCTGCAGTTCAGACGATGCTGCTCGTGGCTCAGCTCAGAACCAACTAGAGGATGCACGGTTTAGGTACGCGGGCCTCCTGCAGAAGTTCTCCAGCTGTTTGGCACCGAAATGACTTGAAGAACCGGTTAAAATGCAGATTCCCAGGGACTATCCTCTCGGCCTCTGATTCAGGAGGGTGGGATACTTGGGGCAGCTGCAAACAAGCAGCCCCACCACCGACAGAATAGCTTACAACAACCAAACTTTATTGTCTCTCAGTTCTGGGGGCCGGGAGTCTAAATCAAGGTGCCGGCAGGCGGGCTCCTTCTGGAGGCTCCGGGGAGAAGCTGTCCCGTGCAGCTCCCCTGGTGCTGGTGGCACCTGGCGACCCTTGGCGCGCATCACTGCCGCCCCCGCCTCCGTCATCACGTGGCCTTCTCCCTGTCCATGGCTCTTCTTATACGGACACCAGTCGTATTGGATTTAGGGTCCCCTATGCCAGTATGACCGCATCTTACCAGATCTCCAAATCAAACCCTAGTTCCAAATCAGGTCGCATTCTGAGGTCCAGGGGGCTAGAACTTCAACATAACTTTCCAGGGGACATGATGCCTCATGAATCGACTTCTCACAGGCACTTCTGCAGATGGGAAGCCGCGGCAGGGGCGGCTGTGGTGGATGCACTGTGGCTCCCTCCCCGTGTACATCGAGGGCAGGGATGGGGTCTGACGTGGGGGGTGTCAGACAGCATCCCGGTGGGACACGGCCAAGCCCTCCACCTGGACACTTCGGATGGCGGGTGGGGAGATGCTAGGGGAAAGGCGCTGCTCCCAGCACACCTGCTCTGCCAGGGAGCCTATCAGCCCTCATGTCCCCCGGGGAGCCCAAGTGGGCAGAGACGGCAGAGCAGGTCCGATGTGTGACCCCACGCCTCGTGCATTCATTCTTCCAGGCCTCGTGCATTCGCCCGTGCTCATCCTCGACTTCCCGTCTGAGAGACGACTGTCCCCTTCTCTATAGGGCCAACTCCAAAGCCAGGACCACAACTCCCAAAGGGTCCTCGGCACGCCGGACGACTCTGCGGCGTTCCCCGAACCTGTTCGCTGTTCCGCGCGAGGAAGAACCCGGACCGGCTGAAGCTCCTGCGTGGCTGCTTCTGCGAACACAGCCAGATGCAACCCCTACATGACACAGGGAGGGGCTTCTCGCTTTTGTTTTCTTTTCAAAGGAGATATCTGGAGTCTTCAAATTCCATACCGGAGCATCTTCTGGCCCGCGGCGCGGTGACATGTGACTGCTGTCACCGGGGCTCCTCACCGCACATGGCCTTCTCAGGAGCTCCTTTTGTAAGGACCCCTCCGTCCACGCCTGACCAGATGGGCGCCTGAGGCAAGGCTGCCTGGAGCCGAGCTCTGCCCGTGATGGACAGTGCCCAGGCTGGTTTGGGTGGAGATTCCTCAGGCTGTGGGGTTGGGGGACCTGGAGCCTCCTGGCGGACGCTGGGACATTGTGATGACCTCGGAAGCCACTCACCAAGTCAGCGCCCCCTTCCTCAAGTCTGACAGGCTGTAGTGGCAGAGGCCATTCCTGCGCTGCTGGCCAGAGCAGGGACCAGGAGACTCATCCAGGGGGTGAGGCTTGTTGCCCTAGCCTGGAGTGAGTCTGGCTGCCAGGGTGACTGACGGTTGCTGCTTCCTTCACCCCGCCACCCAGCCCCACTGGGCATGGGGTCCTGCCCGCCTGCCCACCTGCCCAAGGGCCTGACCCAAAGGATCTGTCCCCTCCTTCTACTGCTACTTCCACACGTGATCTGGGAATTCAAACTTCCTAACCAGTGGCCGGCCCCGAGTCTGCTAAGCCAGCTTGCTTCCCTGTGTATCGCCCTCACGACCAGGGTTCCACGCCTGTCCCCTCCTCGCCCTTCAGGACTGAGCAGGGTGGCGCACTCAGGCTGAGCCTGGCGCCTGGGGTGAGCGCCACCAGCTGAGCTGCCCGCTCCTGCAGCACGTACTGCACAGGGTCGACGCGACAGCTACGCCCCTGCCCCTCCTGGCGGGCGGGAGGCACAGCGGCCAGGCTCTGCCAGCCCAAGGTCTAGTTCAGTGCTGCTCGGATGGGCTGATTTGCTGTCCATCCTGGCTCCCACCCCGAGAGCCCACCCCTGCCCGAGCCCCAGAAGCGACTAAGCAGCCGCGGCGAACGAGACAGCGATGTGACTGGGACCGGGCCAGGGCCCTCTGCTACCTTTGCTGACCGGCCCCACAGGTGCAGCCCTGAGCCCCTGGCATGCAGCCAGCCCAGCAGTGCTCGCATTCACGAGAGCTCCTCCCGAGCCAGGCACTGTGCCCACGGCCTTGTCCTTCGCCCGGGCTGGACGGGAGGCTCACAGAAGGCAAACCACCTGCCTACGGCCACCCGGGCCCTGGCAGAGGCAGGACGTGACTGCAGGCAGTTTCGCTCCTAAGTTGGGCGCTTAGCCACCTGCAGCCCTGCCTCTCCACGCCAGCCTTCCCGTGCCGACTCTGGTCCTGCCCGCCTGCCCCACTTCACACTAAGACCCTCAGGCCGAGAGCAGAGTTCACACTTCACTTAGACACACAGCGGAGGCAGGATTTGAACACGGGGTCGCCTTCCAGTGTCGCGGCCGGCTTCCCTTGGCCGGGGGAGAGACCGCGGCTCTCCCCAGGAGACCTGTGGTTTGAAGGCCTCTGCCCGGCTGGACTTACTTCTCTCTATTGAATATGATGAATTCCTTCCGCACCGTCTCCAAACACTGCTGCAGGTGTCCATTCTGTCAAAGGGCACAGAGAAGTGACCGTAAATGATGGAGCATCATCCAGGGAGCCATGACAAAGGAGCGATGATGAGCAGAGACTGATCTAAATGGGACCACGGATGCCTGGGGCTGGGGACCAGCTAAGAGGAGGGAGTGACCATAAGTGTACAGGTGGCTGTGCCAACGGGAGCCTGGCAGATGATGTTTTCTCAATTTTAAGCCGTGAAATCCAACATAAAAGAGTCGCTAGAATGGAATATAGATGGAAAATCATGAGCTTGGCTTCCTGATCTCTCGAATGCTCATTAGGCCTAATTAAGCGTGAAGGGGGGAGGAGGGAATTAACAGCATCGTGCAAAGCTGCTTAGTCTCTATGGATAAACGCCAAGGGCCAGGGAATCGCCCACGCTCTGTAACACACATTCTGGGAGCTGCCTGAATGTGGTGAGTACCGCACACCTGCGCAGAGCCCGCCCCTTGTGTGGACCCAGCGTGCGCACACGCATCTCAGGTATTAGACTCAGCCTGGGCCTGCGACACTTTTAATTTCTTTTAAAATAAGCGGGGGGAAAAATGAACATTTAGTATTGAAAGTTATATTCCTCTTCATACCAACACAGTTATAAAATACAATTTTAAAATATTTTTATGGAGGACAGGGCGGCCGTAGACTGCATTGTGCCCTTCTCTCCGAAACATATGTTGACATCCTGCCCCGCTCCCGCCCCCGGAACTGGTGAATAAATACGGTCTTATCTGGAAACAAGGTCGTTGTAGCTGCAGCTGGTTAAGATGATGTCACAGTGGAGTCGGGTGGGCCCTAAACTGAATGACTAGTGTCCTTAAAAGAAAGCCATGTGAGGACACAGAGCCACAGAGGAGAAAACGCCATGTGACGAGGGAGGGGGCGTCTGGAAGCCAAGGCGAGACTGCTGGCCGTGACTAGAGGCTGGAGGAGGCAAGGAAGGCCCCTCCCTACAGCTCCGGAGAGAGCACGGCTCTGTTGATACCTTGACTTTGGACGTCTGGTCTCCAGAACGGGGAGAGGATACATTTCGTTATTTTAAGCCATCAACTTTGTGATACTTTGTTACGGCTGCCTAGAAAATTAATACAGCAGCCCATAAAGCCCACGAGAGCCACAATGGGGCCCTGGCTGCCTCCACAGCAGGAGACCTTCCCAAAGACTGCTCCGCGCAACACCGATGTCACTCGGCACTGTCCTCTTCTTGCCTGGAGACACACAAGGTGTCTGCACTCAGAGCGTGAATGTTCAGAGCGTGGCTCTGTAGACCTCCCGTGACTCGTTCACAGGTTTGTGCCGGGAAAAGCCACTTGCTGGATGGAGGCATCTTATTTACAGCACACAGAGGCATCTGGACAGATGAGGTGACACGCCTCTGACTGTAAAAAACGCCTAGCTCAGTCATGTCGCGGGGGTCCAGGACCCCTCTGTCTGCAGTCTGCCCCAGACGGTGCTCACCAGGGGACAGCTGTCCTTCGTGCCGTCTCTGGACCTGTTCTTCGCCAACCTCTTCTTCTTCTTGTGAAGTGGCTTGGACTCGAGAATCATTTCTTCAAGTTCAAATGTGGGGTCGCAATTCAATCTCCCTTTCTGCAAGGAAAATACGGTTTGCCTGTGCTCCATGTGACTGAATTTCGTTTTCATTCATTCGTCTAATCAGTGGCTGCCTACTCCTGCGGGATGTGTCAGCTACGTTTTTGTTTTTTTTTTCTGATGATGAAAAGCAACTTGTTCCCACCACACACACCCTTCCCCTATCCCCGTAACCCCCGCTGGGCAACCCCGCCGTCCACACCTGCGTTTTTTAAGTGTCCTGCCTGTGTACGTTCCTTTCATGAGGCCGAGTTCGGTCTTCTAGTCAGATATTTTCACGTATTTGATCATACATACACTCACGTGTCATTACTACCTTCTCTATTAATGTCATTTTTAATCATTTGATTTAAAAGTGATCACTTTATGAGGCATACAAATGTCTAATCACTATGTCGTACACCTGAAACTAATATAATATCATATGTCAACTATAACTGAAAAATAAAAATTGAAATGATCATCTAAAAAAGATTAAAAACACCACTTCTTTTTTATCTATTTTTTTTTTTTTTAGGTGAGGCAACCCTTGGTTGACCTCACAGATTGCAAGGACCTTGTCAGCTTACAATCCCTTATTTTTTATTTTTTACGCCTACAGCACCTGGTCTTCCTAGGTGGTCTCCCATCTAAGTACTAACCAGGCCCGACCCTGCTTAGCTTCCGAGATCAGATGGGATCAAGCTTGTTCAGGGTGGCATGGCCGTAGACGAAAAACACCATTTCTAATCAAAACCTGCCACTTCCCCATCCTGGTTCCATTTCCCCTGCAGCTGGAGCCAGGTGGCCCTCAGGCCTGGCCCTGCTCCAGGCTGGGGCCCCACCCATTGTGGTCACAGGGATTTGGGTCTCCTTGTCTTCCAGGCCTTGAACCTGAGATGGCAGGTGGCCTTCTTCTGTCCTGAGACCCAGCCCAGGATGAACAACCCCCTCAGGCACTACCTTTCCCAACGAGCAGGTCGGACTTCAGGTCTGAGTCTTTCTGGGCCGGATTTATCTGCAATTCACTTATTCATTCATTCATTCATTCCAATGCAGGCAGCAGGTCGGACTTCAGGTCTGAGTCTTTCTGGGCCTGATTTATCTGCAGTTCACTCACTCATTCATTCATTCATTCATTCATTCCAATGCAGTCTCTGGATCCAGACTGTCTGATGTCAAGCCCTAGCTCTGTCAATTTCTCACTAAGTAATTGTGGGCAAGTTATTTAGCCTTAGAACACTAACCGTGCCTGAGGACACTAACCGTACCTGAGGACACTAACTGTGCCTGAGGACACTGGCGGGACCCACTCTCAGTGTGACGCTTACATGTGGTGATCCACGTGAAGGCTTGGAACAGTGCCTGGCACGCGGAACACACTCTGTCCTGCTGGCCGCTATTATTCATTCATTCATACTCACGTGGTAAGCACACCCTGTGGCCTTCTGGTGCCTTCGAGGACCACACACTGCTCTGGGGTCTCTGAGGTTTGCCTACACTCCATGTCCTCCACCCTCCGAAGCTCTCAGGGGGGTGGCAGACACACTGTAACAGGATGTTATTAACCACTAACGTAGACCTAGGCAGCTGTCTTTTGGGGACAGGAGAGGCTGCAGTCCACTCCATGTGAGGAGCTGGCGGGAGCCTGGCTGGGGAGTGTCCCAGAGGAGCAATGCCTGACTTTGCCTGTCATCCGAAAGCAGAGACTCTCAGGTGGGCCGGTCGCTGAGTCCCGTGGGAGGAGTGGGAGACTGCCTGGTGGACAAGGGCATCCCCAGAAGAGGAAGCAGCAGGACAGGTGTGGAGCTAGGGGACAGTGTGGCCAGAGGGGACAGCTGCAGGCTCCTGGGTGCGGTGGAAGCATAGGTCCTCTCCACGTGCGTTTGTGTGTGACTGAGTGTGCACGCGTATGTTTGTGCATGAGCCAGTGTGCATGAGAGTGCATGTGTGTGTGCGAGTGTGCATGAATGTTTGCACAGGGTTAGGGAGCGGCAGCAGGCGAGGGGCTGCAAACGCAGATACGGCCCCTGACAGAGGTCGCCACATGTCGGCCCCAAGTGTCCCCCCGGGGACCTGCACGAAGCCTCAGGAAGGCCCACCTGCAGCTAGGGTGACAGGTTAGGCAGGCAGTCTGCGCTCCATGTGCAGGACTGCGGCAAGGTCCTGGGCTTCGTCAGTCTGGTCCGAGCCTGGCAGAAGGGGACCACGGGGAACCCTAGCGAATTTCTCTGGCCTCTCCAGAGCGTGCATTCCGATGGAACTCAGCCAGGGGAACAGAGACCAGGCTCTGGTGGGTTTATTCATTAAAACAGCAACCACACACACGCACACACTCATGTGCGCACACACACGCAGAGCTCGGTTGGCCAAGCGAGGTTTCCTACTTCCTACAGCGGGAAGAGGGGAGGGCAGTCACTGAGCGGCCATGCTGTGCTCGGCCTGCCCCGGGGCACCTGGTCTCCACACCCTCTTTGTTCCTCCCAGCTGCCTGCAGGGTGTACAAGTGGGGAGCCCTCTGAACCACAGGCAGCACTGGGGTCCTCTGAGGCAGAGGCCCCTAGGCAGGTGGACAGAAGCCCAGCAGTGGGAACAGCAGGAGTCAAGGTCTGGAAGACAGAGGTAGGTGTTCTGTGAACATCAGGGCCGTGTGTCTGGAGCCTGGCTGGGATTGAAGTGGGGAGACAGGTGGCCAAAGAGGAACATGGTCCAGACCCGCCAGGATGCCGTGTGCTGGGCTAGACAGGCAGGGACGGCGTTTGCTCATCGGGAGAAGACATGATGAAACCAGTCTCGGCTGTGCTTAGTTTTCAGAGGGGCGGGTCCAGAACGCCAAGGAAGCCGGCGGGGGGGGAGGGGTCTGAATTCAGAAAGGTGCACGTGTGTCGTAACTACTGTTTGTGACGAGGGAACTGGAAGCCATGGATTCTTGGAGAAACCAATGTGGGGAAACAGATTATTTTTGCATCAAAAGGAGCGACAGAGTCTTTAAACTAATCTGACATAAAACACCACTCTGGAATATCTGAGATCCCCACCTGCCAGCCTAGTGGTCTCAGCAAGTCTCTTTCGCTCCTTTGCTTTGGAGCTGCTGGCAGAGGCAGGGGTGGCAGTTGTCTATATTTTGTGTGTGTGTGTGTGTGTGTGTGTGTGTGTGTGTGTATGTGTCTATGGGCAGAAGGCTTTCTGAGCCTGAGTGTCCACCTCCTTGCAGACAGCAAGGGGTGGGGGTAGGTACCACAGAGACCAGAGTTTGTGCACCGGTGCTGAATCTCAGTGAAACATGAACCTTTGTTACTCAAGTGGCTGTGGCCAGCAGAGGTCACTCTGCACAGCTTCTGGGGTCCTCCTTTGCACCAAGGTGGGGGCCCCTGCAGAGGGGTGGCATGCCATCAGACAGGACCCCAACTCACATTGGGCACAAAGCCAGGCGTCAGCACCTTCTCGAACACCGCATCCCAGTTCATATCGGCCAAGTAGGGTGCACTCTGAATGTCACCGAGGCTGGACAGGCGGCTCTCGGGGTCCATGGTCAGGAGCTGCAAACACAGGGCAGAGGTGCCTGCCTGAGCTGTGTGCCTACGGAGGTTAGCGGGGTTGTGAGGGTGGGGCCTCGGGAAAATGAAGGTGCCTCTGCTTTTTATGCTCCAGCCACGTCGTGCCCTGTCTGGGATGCTGCCATTGGGAGCGTCACCTACACTCACGTCTTCATAGCAGTGAGGGGCTGAGAGGTCAGCCTGCTTCCGTGAGGCCATCCAGCAAGCGGCCGTTTGGGGGGGAACTAGATCTGCTGCCACCACGCTCCCCTCCACAATGTCCTTTGACAAGTGGCTCTCACTGATGTCTGCAGAGGCTTCCAGTTAAAAACAAAAAGAGTCGCCACCTTGTCTTAGGATTTCCAGCTTAGTAATGAGATGCACAAAGTGGGATAAAATTTACCCTGGACAGTAGATGACTTCTGCAGCCTGATGCAGTGGCCTTATTTGTAGCCAAGGGGACAACTAGAATTTCTGTTATAAAGGGTGATACAGTATAGAAACAGCCACAGATTATTACCTCGCAACCACATGGGGCTTTCTGCTTGTCAAAACACTCTAGCTTATCTAGTGCAAAGAACACGGGCTGAAAGTGAAAAGCCCAGGATCACGGGCTCTGGGGTGGCCACCTAACAGCCATATGGCCTTGGGCAGGCTGCCGGATGCTCTGTGCTTGTTTCCTCCTCCCCGACCAGCTCTTGAAGAGACCTGAGGGGACTGGTTAAGGACCTTGTGCCTGCTAAGAGGGGGCTGACACCCAACTGTCCACAGGTGGGAGCTGGAAGTTGGAGTCTCAACAATTTGTTCCCATCTGTCACTTCAGAAATCTCCCGGCTGCGCCCAGAGAGTAGGCTGGAGCCACACCACGGGAGGGACACCTGGGAGGGGTGTATCTGCTGCTCTCTGTAGGGGTGGCCCCAAATGCTGGGTGCAGATGTAAGCGGAGGCCCACACGGGAGCTCACTGCCTAGGGCAGCAGCTGTCAGACGCATGGGGTGGAGGGAGAAGAAGGCATGTGTGCACTTTGGGCTCCAGTGGTGCCAAGGACCAGTTGGGCTTAAGGACCCCTGACGTCTAGGAACCAGGTGGTGAATCTCCTCTAAAGCAATTTAGCTAATTTAGTAATTCAGTGAGTCATTTAAAGCGGGCCAGGATTAAGAGCTGGATCGGGAGTTAAGAGGGCTTGGCTCAGACCCTGCCTCTGCCCCTTCACGGCCCTGGGGCACTGCTGGAACCCGTTCGTAAGCCTCAGTGTCCCCATCTCTACTGTGGGCACGATGCCACTACTCTACTCACAGGGCTCGTGGGGACTGAGTGAGAACCACCGTACGGCCCATGACATAACATCCCCTCAACCGAGGCTGGCTGCTGTTACTGTTCTCATATTAAAAATGGCTGGATGCCACCTGGAGAGCTGATCAAAACACCAACAGCTGGGCCCACTCCCAGAGCTCCCGATTCAAGGCCGAGGCGGGGCCTGGGAACCTGCATTTCCAGCACGCTGCCGGGTGGTGCTGACGCTGCTGGTCCACGGACCACACTTCGAGAAACACCGCTTCATTCTAATAGCAACGGCTCCTGGAAAGAGTCAGAGGGGCCCAGTTTCTAAAGCCCAGTGAGTTAAAAGACCATTTGCAGCAAAAAAATTTTAAGAGCCATCTCCATTTACGAGAGGCTTGTAGCGGAGTGAAAAGAGCCCGGAGGCTTTGCTGTTACGGAGGTGACCCCGAGCCAAACTGCACGATCCTGCCGCTCTGTGATCTCAAATGTGAGCCGGTGTTGGAGCCCCCGCGAGACTTAGAACCCCCGCGAGACTTAGAGCTCTCGCGAGACTTACAGCCCCGCTCGCTTCCTTCCTTCCACACCGTGCCAACATCTTCTCATCCCCTAGTGTGCTGGACAGCCTGGTCCGACACTAGTGACTTTGGCTCCCTGGCCAGGCAGGCTCGTGGCCGCCCTCTTACCTTCTTCAGCAGGGTGACCATGCCCTCGCACCACGTGGAGGAGTAGTGGACACGCGCCACCTTGAACACGCTGAGAATCTCGTCGACGGGCGTGGCCGAGTGGATGTCATATGGCCTCTATGAGAGACAACGGGCGGAGTCAGAGGGAGCGGAGTCCACGGGAAGACGCCGCCCACGCGGCTAAAACCGTGATGACCGTGGGTGCTCCCCTTTCACGGCGGCACAGGTGGCCCGGGCCCACGTGCCACAGTGACCAGGTCTGCGGGGCAGTGCAGGAACCCAGCAGGTGCGCGCTGTCGTGGCAAGGTCCCACAGCCAGTAAGTGGCAGAGAGAAGCAGGATCCACACCCAGTAGCCTCCCCCCAGAGTCCTGCTCTCGCCATCCACTGGGCACCCAGCTACACCTCAGGCACCGCCCCCACCTTTCCCCGCCAGGGCTGCACCTGCCCCGGAGCGGGCGGGGCTGAAATCGCCAAGGTCTGGGCCTAGTTGGGTGGAGAGACGGGAGAGGCCAGGCTTGGTACACATGCCATCCCCTCTCCCCTGCCATGAGAACGCCCAGCCCTGCCTTCCTCCAATGTCGCAGCTTAACAGAGCATCAGACCTCCGGACCGAGTTTTCTCAACATTGCTAACAATGTCTCAAAGCTTAGGAAGGCTCTCTTGTCTGTGACTGTCGGGAAGCGGCTTGGAGAGTGAGCACGAGCTCACTCCCTCCAACCCCCAAACCGAAAGAATAGCCTCCCTCTCTCTCTTTGCCTCTCTCTGTGTCTCTGTCTGTCTCTGTCTCTTTCAGAGCCTCTTCACCCTCCACCTGGCTCTGTGGTCCAAGAAATCTTCAGATGTGAATCGCGGTCAAATGACGCAGGGCAGCACCAGGTGATTGTTCCCCAAGCTCATGGGGTGTCGCAGCTAAACGGATCCTGGAGAAGCCTGGAGGAATGACCTCGTCATTAATCCATGTGACCTCTATGGATATGGACTTCCTCTTGGGGCTCCTCAACGTAGGATTAGATCACCCTCATCTCCGTGTTCTCAGGGCCCCCAGCAGTGTCTGCCACCAGCAGGGTCCCAAGGCACAATGATGAGTCAGTCCCTCCATGAATATTAATTGGACTTGACCCTGGGCCAGACACCGTACTGGGCTTGCAGGGCCCTTACTGCGCCGGCTCCAACCTCATGGAACTTCTGTTCCTGTGGGGCTGCTGCAAGCAGGAGGTGCCAGCCGAGGAGGTGGGGGTCCTGAGCCCTGGTGGGCTACAGTCCTCAGAACGAAGGAGCGTCTTTAGCTTCGCCAAAGGGGTGTGCCCGTGCCTTCTGACTGTCCAACCAGAAGGGGGCCTCCTCGGGCCGGCGGCTACCTCCCTGGTCCGCTAACTGAATTGGGACCTCCCTTTTCTGCCCAGGAGCAAACCCAGCCTCTGTGGGCTCCCTGCGAAGGCTCATGAACTCCACACGCTAACGCTCTTGACATACTTCCTCAAACATGCTTCTTAACGGGCAGCAGGGTTCCGGTAACGAGCATTTAAAATTTCCGCCTGAAGCCATTGCCTGCTTCGCATCTGCAGGACCCCTTTGCACTGCACCAGTCACGACTACCAGAATTAGAAATAAGAGCGTGAACTGAGAGCACTCGTATGTGACAGAAAACTCACAGGATCTTTATGAGTTAGCTACTGTGACCGTGATCACTGCGTAGAGGACGAGACGGAGGCAGCGCGCCCTGGAGCCGGGAAGTGGTGACACCAAGATTCAAGCTCCGGCAATGTGGACCAGGCCTCGCCTCTGTGCACGGCTGGCGTCAGCTGAATCGTGTCCCCCCAAAGCCATGTCTTGGAGTCCCAACCGCCAGGACCTCAGAATGTGACTGTTTGGAGAGAGGGTGTTTATAGGGGTGATGGTAGCGTGAGCTCACCGCGGGGGACTCTGATCCAGCACGATGGCTGGGCTCACCACCAGGAAAGCCTTTTAAAAAGGGGAAGTGAGGACACACAGAGAGACACTCAGAGAGATGACCACGTGAGGAGACACAGGGAGAAGACGGCCACCCACATGTCAAGCAGCCCTCGGAAGGACCGGCCTGTGGCATCACCTTGATCGTGGACTTCCAGCTTCCCTTCCGGCGAAGAAGCGAGTTTCTGCTGTGTGAGCCCCAGTCTGTGGTCCGCTGTCCCACAGACAAAGCCCGAGCAGATTCATAGGACCACCCTCACTGTCCACCCGCAGAGTTCTCATGGAGGCATCGTATGCCCACTTTGTTCCTGCAATGTGCTGGCGCCCTCTGTAGGCTGGGCTGGGTGTGAGCGGGACGGACACGGCCCCTACCCTCCTGAGTGGCGGTCTTGGAGGGAGCCGGCAGCAAGGATCTTCAGGGATGTGTGCTGGGAGGAGCCCATAGGGAGTGATGGCACATATGAGGGGGCGGGGGGTGCTGCCTCAGTGAGGGGTGGCAGGGAAACCAGAGCTCGGGCCACCCCCTGGAGACGGGCCAGGGGCCGAGACTTCAGTTTCTGGACATTTCGGGATCACTTCTTCCCGTCTTTTTGCCTCTCCACAAACCATTCTTACCCCTGTCCCAGCTCCACCCACTTGCTGACCTTGGGGGACATGCAGTCTCAGCTCTTTATTTTAAAGGTCAGAAAACCGAAGGTGGGAGATGCAAAGTGACTTTCAGTGTCCCATGGAGGCCCAGGTTCTCACTCACCGCTTCTTCCACAATGCCCTCAGAGCCACGTAGCCGAGCACCCAGGTGGAGCAGCAGTCAGTGACCAATGCGAAGACTGCCCTTATCATTCACACCTCATGCTCCTTTTCCCTCTGGGTTACTTCCAGGCACTCATCAACTCTGCTTTTCCACCAGATCCAAACGAGCCACTCTCTGTCTCTCTGTAATTTCCTCCCCTTCTGGAGGAAATCAGACCAGCCCAAATAACAGTGACAACTGTGACAAGCCAGGAGGCCAATACAGCAGTTAAATACACTTAGATGTACATTTGAGATACCATGATGAGAATGAGTTCTGCAGCTTTAGGCTCCAAGCTCAGCTTTCATCTGGCGGGTGCAGAGAAACCCAGGTCCTCGAGCAGAACCCTGGCAGGTATTAAGATCGATCTTCTGTCTGCCTGTGGCAAAGAATGTTATCGATGCTTCGTTCTCGCTCATTGGCCTTAGGACATGTTGCCTCAGAAACCGAGTGGTATTTTTAAGGCAAAGTGATAACACGCACCGCTGGCGAAAGCAGTTTTAACAGCAGGGACCTGGGTGCACTCACTGTGGACCGCAGGGGTGTCTCTATTCTAAGAGACCCAGTTTACAAAATAGATGACCAGTTACCAAGACATGCTGGGAAGAGAAGAATTGTCAGAGACCCGTTATTAACTGTTCGAGCTGAGTTGGGCCTTGGGGACCATCTAATCCAATGTTTTGTCCCCACAATCTTTTTACTTAAAACCTCAAACAGGAGGTTTGAGAAACATCCCCCACCCCCACCGCGTCCTGTGGAGTCACCTCTGCAGCTTCCTAGAGCACCAGGAAACAGCTCGAAAACCACAGGGCACTCGAGATGGCCTCTCTCCTCCTCTGGTGGAGGTGGTCACCGAGTCCACTTGCTCCCAGGCACCGTGCTGTCTCTGCTTTACCAACGGATGAGAGGACAGTGCCCAGCCAGGGACACCTCTTTCCTGTGTCAGGTTAACACACCAGTCCCTCCCTGGGGCCCGCAGTTGCGCCCACCCACCTGCCTGGTGGACACCCAGTGGTTCCTAGTTCTGCGATCCAGTCTTTGGGGGGAGGGAGGCGGGGTGCGGCGCTGCATACACGCACCCTTTACTGTTCAGTGGACTCTGCACCCACAACCTTCTCTGTCTGCCCGACCCCAAGGAGACATGCCAACTGGGGTCAAAGGCAAGGGTGACACCAGATCAAGGAGGTGGGTGGGTGGAAGCAGAGAGGGTAGCAGCTCTTGGGGTGCCGGTGGAAGCTTTTGGGGCTCCACCCTTGTCCATATGGAGAGCCGGCGCTGTGCGAAGCAAGGTGCCAACAGCCTGCCGTCCAGGGTCTCCTCTATCCTGATCGCTCTATGGCTGTTTCCCAAATGGGGACGATTTGTCCCCCAGGGGACTTCTGGCAATGTTTGGAGATGCTTTTCGCTGTCCTAACTGGGTGGGGGAGATTTCTGCTGGCATCTAGTGGGCAGAGGCCGAGGATGCTGCTAAACCCTCCTACCGAGCCCAGGACAGCTCGCAGCCTCAAATGTCCGTAGTGCTGAGGCGGGGAACCTGGTGTTTTGGGCCTCGCCCCCATTCCATAGATAGGAAATGGGCTCACCCCTGACTATTCAGTGGCTGTGCTGCATAGCCAAGGTTTGAGCCCCGACGTGATTCTGAAGCTCAGACTCGCCTAGCCACTGTGCCACTGTGACCACAGTCGGCACTGCCCTGCCCACAGAGCGAGGCCAAGTGTCCTCATGGTCCTTTGTAGACTGTCCCAGTGTCTTTCTGACTGGTGGCCAGGCTAAGGTGTGTGCTGGACCAGCCTCACTGCCCTGCCCTATCTGTGCTCACACTGTCCCCTCCTACAATTCATGTAGCTCCTCCCTCAAAAATAGTCATCAGCACTGTATCTGCATCTGCCTGTCTCAGAGTCCTTTCCATGTGTATTTACGACAATCTGCAGGCCTCCTGTGTGCCAGACGCTGCATGGGCTCTGCCCACATTTTCTCCCGTAATCCCCTCGGCGACCTGTGGGCCCGTCTCATAATCCTTGTTTTATGAAGGAGGAAGCCAGAGCTCAGATGAGTCAAGTGACCAAGGCAGAGTCAAAGCCCCAAGGCACAGAGTGTGGCGGAAACGCAGACCTCTGGTCACCAAGCCCCCTGGGCCTCCCCACTAAGGGCCAGGCGTGACCCGGCCTCCGCCCCCAGGGCCTGTCAGCAGGGTAAGATGCTAAGTTGCAAAGGATGTAGGCCGGCCAGCACCCCCCACGGCTGGGGTAGGAATCAGAGAAGGGATAGGAGCCGACCACTTGTCAGGCTGCTGTAATTTGCATCACTGGAATCACTTAATTCTCAAAGCGACCCAGACGGGGAGGTAATCTTTCTCTTTTCTTTCTTTTTTTCCCTGCCAGTAAACAGGAGGGTTCTGAGCGCTCAGTCTGTTTATCAACCTTGGTTAAGATTGGAGACCAGACACCTGGGAGAGCCAGGGTTTGAACCTGTGAATTCCTCTAAGATTGTCTTTCTCTGTCATGAGGCAGCTCTCAGCCGAGCAAAAGGAAAATCTTCCCAGCTGTCAGAGCTGTCAACAAATCAGAGTAAGTTCTCTCTGCGGGGTGAGCTGCTAGCTCCTCGCCTGCTGAGGGAAACCAGCGAACAGGTGGGTGATCACCTGTGAGGGACGCTGTCAGGGAGACCGGTGGGGGTCGGGGGACATGGCAGGGCTACGGTCTTTGAGCCCCTTCGGGTCAGTGGATGGGAGGGTCCTCCTCACACCTCTATGGGTGGTGGTCCAATCAGGGGGTGGAGTCTCAGTCCCTGGGACGACTGTGCTCTAACCGGAGCTGCCTAAGTGGCACTTTCTCGGGTCTTTTTCTTTCACTTAGCAGATCCGCGGGGGTGAGAACTAAGAGTCTCATCTGGGATCAGAGAGAAGCTGTCCCCGGTCCTAATTATGTCCCTGGTCTAGGCTACAAGGCCCAACCAGGCTCTCAGCTCTCCTGACTGAGATTTCAAGCCCCTAATGATGCTCCGTCCCTCTGCTCTCTCTCCAGAGCATCTGGGGAGAGGTGTCTGCTTTCCGTGCTCCCGGGTCCCTGGCCAGCAAGCCGCAGCAACACCATCAGTTTCCATCTTTCATTTCGAACGCTTTCCAACTCTAAGAACTTAGAACACGCACTGGGCGATCCCCACCAGGGCTGTCTTTGGGAGGTAAGGAGCTCCCTGGGTCCCAAGGGAATCAAGGAAAAGGTGGGCGATCGGCTGTCACTGATGTGATGGAGAAATCTCAAGGAGGAGATTTCTTCAGAATTTCCGAATTTACATAGTCCATGGGCGAATACGAGTGTTTTCTGGTACAGCGTTTTGACTAAATGTGATTGCGTCCATTATGAAAAACAGAGACTAAACCAAATGCAAAACCCATTGTGTGTCAAGTCAGAGAATAAGCCAGACCAAGCTGTCTGGGAGAAAGGTACACTGGCACAGGCAGGTGTTCTGTCCTGTGCCTTGTCCCCACCCCAACAGTCCTGATCCCTCCCTTTGCCTGTCCCTCTTCCATCGAAAGTGGCATTTGGGCCTCTGAGCAGAAGACTCAGATGAATTGAAAATTAAATGGTTTAGTTTTGAAGCAGCAAGAACCACTCCATCCTTGGGACTTCGAACAAGTCATCACCTCTGACCGCTCTGACCCGAGAGGAGCAACAGAGAATGTACTTTCTGCAGGGGACGTCCAGTCGCGCCAGGCCCACCAAGGTCATTTGTATGACTGTGTCTGGCGGATGCCTGTGTTCTGTGGTTCGCACAGCGTCATGGGCTGTCATATTCCTTCTCTGAGCGTCTCAACAGAACTGGCAGGCGACAAAGGAACCCACAAGGGATAAGTAAGCCTGTGGGAGAGTAACTTGTTCATTCAGAGCTTGACAAAATGAACAAATTCATAATTTGCATTCTGAAAACACGATGTACGGTAATTACATTTTTGAGGAATTCAGGGGGAAATAACTGAGATCGAGAGCAGATAGCAGACACCTGAATTATAGAGTGATAGATGATACTTATTTGCACCCACAGAACTTTTACCAACTGCTCTCATCATTCATTCATTCATTCATTCATCACCTATTACCACTATGCCCTGGGACCCCTGCTCTTAAGCAGGATCTACTGGTCTGACTGTGCTCATATACAAACGACTGTGAAACATCGTTAAAACTGTAGCCGGGGGGAGGAACTGGTTCTCCGCTGGCCTCGTGCTGGGCAACTGAGCTAGAAAGGGGAGTGACGGGCAATCCAGAGGTCCCGGTCCAGAGGCAGCTGATCCCATGATAACTACGCCTCCACAGACTCGACGGAAGGGGTGTCACTATGCCCACTGTACAAAAGGCGAACCGTGGTCCCAAGGGTCTAAGTGGCACTGTTTTCAAACAACCCTTGTGCAAAAAAATCAGGCCTCGAAATCAGTTTGTCATAATTCTTGCCGCCAAAACTGAGTTATTGGTTGCCAAATAGCTCCATGAGTCATCTTCAGCTATTCCATTTAAATGAAACAAAGACACGTTCTGAACGCCCCATTGTCATAGGACACTGAGCTAGGTATCGAGGGAAGACTGGAATAAATGGACAAGCAAAAGAAGTAAGGGAAGCATGGTCTGGACCCTGAAAGAGTTCAAACCAAGCTGGAAAATCGGGTGCGGACGCGTCGTGTCGTGGGCGGAAAGAGGACAGTGTCTGCAACCGCGAGGCTAAGATGCTTCTGGTGTTTGTTGCCACCGATTGGCTGTCGACCTTGACACAGATCTTCCCCCCCCCAGACACCCGCTTCCCCATGGGTAGCATGAGGGTGCTGACCCGGAGGCTGGCTAATGCTGGGGACTCGAGAGCTGACACACAGGCCGTGAGCACTGACACTGGGCCTCCGACTCCTCCTGCCGTGATCCCTGCGGCCACCTTGCGCCATCTCAGTGGCGGGGCGAGCGGACTGCGCTCAAGCCTGGTAGGACCTGGGCCCCCTACTGCCACGGCCCCGCCCACCGCGCAGGCGCACGTCTTACCCAGCCCCGCAGCAGCTCGTAGGCGGTGACCCCCAGCGACCACCAGTCGACGGGGTACGAGTACCCAGGGCCTCCGTCCGCATACGCCTGGAACACTTCTGGGGCTGCCAAAGACAGGACAGAGAGAACGTCACTGCACGTCACAGTTCACACGCACCGCCCCTTAGGGAGGGGACTCAGGGGCAAGGACCCAGCTTCTGGGACCGCGAAGCCGGCGCTCCGTGCGCTGTGTCTCGTGCTTCCTGCCCTCTGTAGACCGCGAGCCGGCTTGAGAACAAGTGGCAGTCACCCCAGGAGACACCCGCGTGACCGCCCAAGTGCGCGTGGTGCCTGACACCGCAGAGGCGGTCCAGCTCATTGCCTGTTTGCCTCGGCAGCAGAGGCAGCTCACGGCTTTGGAGCGTCAGTGTCACAGAGCGAAGGTCCCTCGGGAACCATCTTGTTGTCCCCTCTGCACTAGGACTGGCCGCCAGGCTTAAGGGGAAGAGTGGCTTGCCTCGGCCACCCATCACCAACCCTGGGGTCCAGTCGCGAGCTCCCAGTCCTGACCCTCAGGTCCAGGGAGTCCCCCTTACTGTAAAGTTAACGTCAGCTGTCAGTGCTAGGTGACTCTCCCTCCTTCGTGCTTGCCCCGCGGGCCTCGGGTCTTCTGCAGCCGTCCTTCCTGCTTCTGGCGGGCAACTAGCTTTCCGACAGGTGACGCTGACCGTGGAGGTGGCCTGCGTGAAGAGCTTCCTGTCGCGATGGCTCTTTCACAATCTGCGTTCCCAGGAGCGCCACCCATCCTGGGTGAGGCTAACGGATTTTGGAGGAGAAGGGCGTTGGAGGCCAAGGATGTCTGGGAAATGGTGAAGGCCAAGTCCACGGCGTTCTCTCCCGCAGGCTTCTCGGAGCATCTGCGGTGCTCGCGGGCTCACTGGACCTCGAGGGGCCTCGCGCAGCGAGCATGGCTCGGGAACCGCTTTGACTTGATGTCCTGGAATCTTCTTACCCTTTTCGTGGAATAGTACACGGTACCAGGCTGGCAGCCTCGGTGACTTCGAGGGCGTGTGTGAACTGAGGTCGGCATGCAGGTGCTTTCAGCTCCCGCCTGTAGCTCTTCCAACCAACATTAGGCCCCGGGGGCTTGCCCGTGGCCACCTCGGCCTCCGGCTGGTTCCTAGACCACCCCGACTGTCTACACATCTCTCCCCGAATTCACCAGGCTGTCTCACAAAGGGCACAGCTCCAGAGTCACCACCTCCAGGACCTGGCTAAGTACCAGATACTCTGCAAGGTTCTCTACACGCGCCACATGCGCTTCAAGATGCATCTCCACTGTCATTACTTCCTTACCGCTCCCCCCGCCCCCGGACTGGGCTAGGGCTTCCTCTCCGCCCCGTGTCCCCAGCACCTCCCGACTGTAACACTCCTGTGGCGCTGGTGCTAGTTGGTCTGCTCCCTGCCAGGCCCTCAGCTCCCTGAGGGCAGGGGCTGCCATGTTCTGGCGGGTGCCCCGAGCCTTGCCTGGCATGAAGAAGACATGGCATGAAGAAAGGTTTGTTGACTAAGTAAACGAATGATCACAAAAAAAATTAGCAAACACTAATATCGTCTTTGTTATGTGTCCCAAACTGTTTTAAGCTCTTTGACACACTTTAATAAAAACATTTAACCTTTATGAAACACCTGCCATGTGCCAAGTCTTGTGTTAAGAGCTAGTGAGTATTAACTCAGTTTTCACAAGGACATGGAATTTAAGCTAGCTGCTGCTGAGTCTTGCTGCAGAAGGGACCAGGATGCTCTGGGCTGAAGATGTCAAGGCCGGAACCAAGGGTTCCTTGGAGCACAGTGAGTGATGACAGCCTCCCAGGATAGCAAACGACAAACCAAGCAGATAACGGGGGTCAGGTTTGGCCGTGCCCAGAAAGTGTCCAGGGCCCGAGGCCTGGGCATGCCTGTGTGGGTTACATGGATGAATGAAATGCCCCGTCCTTCCAGGGGAAAAAAAACCAAACAAACAACCCTAAAACCTCTTACGATGCCCTGGTGCGGGGAGGGCCAACCCCGAATCTATTTTCAGCCAACTGGCAACGCTGACAGTAGCCGTCATCCTCACGCATGAAACAGTCGTGCAGAGCTTTCTGGGTGGCCAGTTCCTTCACATGCCCCCCTCCCCTCCTCGAAGCACTCCAGGCCCCAGACAAGGAAACCCAGGCCCGCAGAGGCGAGGTGGCATGTTCAGGGACGTGGAGACAGCGAGCGGAGAGCTGGGATCTAATGTTACTGTTGTTATGAGCTGCGGTTTTACTTACAATACCAACCGTCGCAATATTAAATTGGCCATTTGCTGAGCATCTACCGTGTGCCAGAAGCTCTCCAGGGTTCTCTCCATATGCTACTCACTCCCAGAAAGCTAACACTTACGGGGCACCCACGACACGCTGAGTTTCGCGTGCACCGTGTCATCTTATCCTCAGGAGGACCTCGTGAGGTGTGCGCTTTTGTCACTCCATTCCAGGAAGCCGAGGCGTGGAGCGGCGGGGTTCAGCATCTGTCTCCCCCACCTGACTGCGAGTTCCATAAGGCAAGGGAACGGGCTCCGGGCTCTGAGTTCCCAGTGCCAAGCACGATGGCGGCGGCAACGGCGATGATCGCGTCGGCAACGGTTTCGTGCCTCTACCATTGGTCAGGCGTCATGTCACGTACCTTCCGTCCCCGAGTCATTACATCCCCTCGAACAGCTGACTGAGGCAGACTGCGTCATCGGTAACCCCATTTCTCAGATGAAGGAACTGCCAGGTGTGGCAGCTAACACTCCTGAGTGTTCGCCATGTAGAGCATTTCATGTGCACTAGGTCAGGCCCAAGTTCACCCAAGTTCACCCAGCCACCAAGAGGAGGACACCCAGATTGCCCCATGCTGACCCATGCGTCACCAGGAAGCTCCCCTGGTGCGTCTAGTGACCTGCCTGCGTCTCCAAGGTCACTCATGAGGCTGGATCCCCTGAGTTTGATCACAACGTCTCATCCAGCACTTTTCAGAGATGTTTTTCCCCCTCTGCTCACAAATTCCGTCTGTTCTTTTAATTAATGAAAATTCAGCTCTCTGCAAACGTTTCTTCCAGGACCATCCTTTGTGAGCAACCTCTGGGAGCTGACTCATCAGCCCATTAGCTGAATCCGCGTTTAGAACACTCTGGGATCTTTTACTGGGCCTTTAAATCAAATAGTGCAAATGACTGAAATCAACGAACCTGCCAATTGACATCAGAATTGAAGGCCCTGGGAAATGCCAGATTTGACTTTATCGAGCGGGCCTCCCCCATCATCTCTTCCCCCCAAACTCCCCTGCCTGGTGCTGCCAACCCCTACAGCGGCTGCAAACGTATCCATCCGGCAAATCAGCTGTGTCTTCTAAGTCCCATCAAAACCTCTCCTGTGCATTTGTTCATTCATTCAGGACGGAACCTCCTCTAACTAGGACACAGAAGCCCTGAATCCTATATATAGCTGGGACAGTGAACTTTATTCTTGTCTGAGAAACACAGCTTTACAATTCAGGAACTCAGTGCCAGAAGGCAGCTTGGAACAGCGGCGAAAGCACGGACTTCATATCCAAGGAGACGTCGCTGCAAACTCCGGCTCCTTCGCTTGCCAGCTCTGCGATGCTGAGCAAGTTAATTAACCTCTCTGGGCCTCAGGCTCCTCAGGGAGATGCGGGAACCTCACGAGGGTCTCCTGAGGGTTAAATGCGATGGTAGACCTGCAGTAGGGTCACAATACAGATTGGTTTTCTTCTCCCTTTTGGAGGTGGGGCTGTGGTGGCTAGTGGCCCACCAGGTCACCACTGGTCTGCTTTCACAGAGGCTGCGAGCCAGGACATGGCTGTCTCCGGCATTGGTGGGAGGCGGGGAACGAGGCTGAGACAGGCCGGAGTGGGGTGTCCGGGGCGGTGCCGGGGAGTGTGCCGTGCGTGGAGCAAAGCGGTAGAGAGGTCGGGGCGGGTCTGGCCTCATTTTGAGCTTCTCCCGTGGTCCAGCGTCTGCATTCCCGGACACCCATCTGCTTTGTGCAAACAGCCTAAAGGAAGTCAGAACTGGTTTACAGAGTGGGGGAGGCCGAAGGGAGGTCCTCGCTATGCCATCGCTCTCTCCTCAGCCCCTCTGGACGCGGTGACTCCTTGGAGGGGCTCAGAATCAGAGCCCACGCTTCTTCCTCTGTCCTCCCTGGGGGACCCTGTCACTGCCTGGGCTTTTCTGAAAACTCTGAAAACTCCCTGACCCACGATCCCACCCGCATCACCCTCCAGATGCCCAGAGAGCACCCCGCTACTCTGAGGTTCCCACAGGCACCTCGAATTCAGACTTGTCACCCCACCACCCCACACACCTGCTGCTCCTGCCGCGTCCTCTGCTGAGTACAACACCGCTGTACCTCACTCTGCTGCATGACCCAGAAGACTGGAGGCAGCCTGGACACCCCTACCCCCATTCTCCTGCCCATATGACCTGTCAGTGACCTTCTTGGATGGACATGCCCCCGCTCTGGATCCTTCTGCAAAGGGATTTCAGAAAGACTGTCAACAGCGAAAGCCTCACTGGGGTCCCAAGGGACTTCTCTGAGGTGAGGATGCTCCCTCCTGTGCGCCCCGACCCCGAACTGGCACAAGTTACCCAGCCTCGCTCAGTCTGGTTCCTCACATGTAAACGGGAATGAACAATTCTGCCTATTTCATGTGCGTGAAGATTAAATAAGGTTATGGATGGAAACACTTAGCTCAATGCCCTGCACAGAGTAAATACTAGAAAGTATTATTTTTACCATTATTTATTGCCAAACTTCATTTATTTAATGTATTTAATAAGTTAAAGATGACTTATTAAAGTGGTGGATTCTGGGGAGGTGGTGACATAGTTTCTGAATCTCCACAAATCCACATATAAATAATGACAGAGCAGATCAACAGCTAAACCAAGAACCATGGGCAACACTTACTACAAAACTCCGTGTGTCCCCCCAAACTCCCAAATGTAAGCGGGTAGGAACAAACCAGCTACAGTAACGAGACCCCCACGGTGGCGGTTTCTGTACAGCAGGAAACACAGGGGAGAAATGAGGCCCCGCGTGATGAGCCAGAGAACAGAGAACTCCAGAACAGCTCCCAGAACCCCGAAGTCCCAGCAACTGGGAAGCGCAGCTGGCAGACCTGAGAGCGGCAGCTGAACCCGGGAGGAGCTGGTCCAGCCCAACTCCGGGGGAGTGAAAAGGGCGCTGGCCATGTCCCACGGGAGCCGGAGCAGCCTGGGACACGACATCTCTAATCGATCCAGCCAGAGCTCCCTTCTCGGAAGGAGCCCAGGGAGAAACGTGTGGAATCACTACTGAGCAGGACAGGGACCCTACAGACAAAAAGTCCAGATCAAAGTGGGCAAGTGGGCCTGAGCCAGGTCACCCCAGACAGCACGCTGCCTTGGGTCTCAACGTCACACAAACGGAAGAGGTAAGTCTGGTCAGTCAGAGAGGCCATCCGAAACCCCGCCATCTTCCAGGAGTTCAGGGAAACTAATTTCACGTAAAAGGGAACAATAGAAACGTATCAAAGTCAAATTCCATGCAAATTTATCGTAGGAGGAGAACGAAGAGCAAAATAACACTTTACAATGAAAGCACATTAGAAAGATGTGCCCCAAACCCCCAAAAGATCAACACTGTAACCCACTATTTCAAAAGAGCTAAATGGCAGTGTAATGAAGTGCTTCAGTAATGGCTCCCCCAACGAATCAGGCCATCGGGTAACCACGCCCAGTGCAGGCCCCTCCCACGAGGTCCCTAGTCTTGGTCATGTGACTTGCTCCGGCCAGCTGGACATCAGGAAATGTGAAGCAAGCAGAGGCTTGATGAGCATGTGGGAATTGGGTTCTCCTTCTTTTGACAACTGTCACCATGTGAGCAAGCTCACGCTAATCCCCTCGATGATGAAGGACCACACACAGAGAGAGGCCCATTCATCTCAGCTGTCCTTGCTGAGCCCAGCTCCCGGCTGACCCCTCGACCGAATGAGTGAGCCCAGCTAAAACCAGCAGAACTATGCAGTCGAATGGCGGAATTGTGAGAAATAATACATCGCTATTGTTCTAAGCTACTAAGTTTTGACATAGTTTGTTGCACAGCAATCATCAACTAATACAGACGTCAAGAATTAATAACTAATAAAGACATTCATAAAAGTATACAAGACGTAAAAGAACAACATAGATTAGAATTTAAAAACTCAGAAATCAGGCAAGAGAACTCAGGAAAAAAATGAAAAATAAAGGGAAATTGTTTCAGAAATAAATACTTCACTAGAAAGCACACAAAACAAATAAACACAACAGATAATGCTTTAACAGAAAGAAAGAGAAAAATGAGAAAAAAATTTAAACAAATGAAGCGAGAGCTGAGAAAGATTTGAAAATGACAAATACGGAAGACTGGCAAAGAGGACCCAACATTTAGATAATAGGCATCCTTCAAGCAAGCTAAAGTGAGGGAACGGAATGCTAACTAAAAATGACATTTCCATCCAAAGTTGCAAAGAAAAACCGAGCTGAAACTACACATCGGAGAGCGTGCGTACCTGAACATACAGACCCAAATGGCCAAGCCCGAAGTTATATTGTGACACCACTGGACTTTAACGAAAAAGAAAAAAAGGTTTGCTTTGTGTTTGTTTGCTTTTCCCTAAGCCAGAGTCAAGCTTTCTGGCTGGATAGGAGTTCTCTAGAACACACAGGACAGTAAGGTCTTCCTGGCGGGGGACGCAGCTTGGGTCAAGGCCAGCGGTGTGAGGGAGCATGTGCGTACTGGGAACGGCTGGGGCCCAGTGGGGGTGGGGGGATGAAACGAGAGAGCAATGCCACAGTCTCAGACACGGGCCCATCGCACCCCAAAGGGGGCCTGGAACACTCACCCATGTAGGGCTTGGTCCCGGCCATGGAGGAAGACTTCTCTGCGCCTTTCACGACAGTCGCGATGTTGAAGTCTGTGACGTGAACATGTCCTAGAGAAAGAGAAATGGAGATTCCAGTCAGCAAGAGCTGCAGGCGGCTGGGCTCCTCCTCGTGCGACTTCAGGCTGGGAGAAACTGTTGGCTGTGGCTTACAGCAGCATTTTGTCTGATACTATGACATCTTTTGTTGTTTTTGTTTTTTGCAGTGTTATTCACGGTAGCGAAGATACAGAAACAATCTGTGTTCATCAAGGGATGAACGAACAACGAAGGCATGGTCTGCATATAGGGTAGAGTGTTGTTCAGCCTTGAGAAGGGACATCCCGCTGTTTGTGACAACATGGATGCACCCTGAGGGCATTATGCTAAGTGAGACAAGCCAGACATAGACAAATACTGCATGGGGTCACTTACATGTGGAATCTAAAAAGTCAAATACAGAAACAGGGTAGAACTAGGTTGCCAGGCGCGGGGTGGAGGGGGCAACGGGGAGCGGTTGGTCAAAGGGCACAGACTTTCAGCTCTAAGATGCCTAAGGTCTGAGGACGCATGTAGAGCGTGGCACTGCAGTTGATACCACTGTGTGTGTAACTGAAACTTGCTAAGAGAGTAGAAGTTAAATGTTTTACACACACACACACACACACACACACACAATGATGCAAGAATGTCCATTTTATTTGCGATTTTTACAGTGTGAAGTTTTGGTGGTACATGCATATTTGCATATTACCTATATAGAAACAAATCCATTTTTATTGAGGGCATGCCAAAAAGTTTTATGGATTAAAAGTTTCGGGGCACCGACCGAGACAGTGGAAGTAAATAAAAGTGACAGGTCCGTCCCGACCCCTTTTCTCAGGAAACTGTGCGGCCATGGCCGGGGGGAAGGGCGTGCAGAGCATGCTCCTGCCCAGAGGACACCCCTGTCCGCCGTCTCTCTACTGTGGTCAGCGGGGACCTCAGGACTGTGTCTGATGAATTTGGTGGGGAGGGGCTGGGGGGCGGGGGTTGAGACCCCCCCTTCCTACCAGCCTATGGTAACGGCAGCAGATGGGACACGGATAGGCTGGGTGCACCTGCAAACAGGTGTTCCAGAGACCCGAGGAGGAAGGACGAGGGACAGAAAGGAGGGAAGGCGACAGGGAGATGCGGGGGTCAAAGGGGAAAAGAGGAGAAGGGCGGGGAGGAGAGGGAGGCAAATCCTGAGTGGGCAGTCCTGGCTCTCTGGGGAATCTGGGAGATGAAAAGCAGCAGCTCTGAGACCCCGGAATACCAGACGCAAACGCAATCACGTTTCTTTCCGTTCGTCGTCACATCCTGTGACAATGGCTGGACGGATTTTCACCACATCTGAGACTTGTGTTTGGGACGGTAGGACGTCAATACACGGGTGGGTGGCACAACAAAACTGGCTTTGGGGGGACTTGGAGGGCACCCTCAAGTCACGGGCAGACACTTGCCAGAGCAGCTGCCATGAGGCCCGCTGAGAGGCCCCCGGGAGAGGCGTGTCTGATGTGTTCAGCCGCGGTGGACAGAAGAAGCACCCGCCGTTCTGCGTGTGGACCCCAGATCTCAGCCCAGCTGCCCGCACTGATGTGTGAACGAGCCGGGCACTCCGTCCAGGGCCCTGGGTGAGAAGCAGCGCAGCGGTCAAGGACAGTGACGATCTGCCATCCCCTCCGGGGGCTTGTGGATAAAGCCTAAGTCACCGAGCCAGGCCTTTGCTGCGAACGCTTTCTGGCCAGACGCAGTGTCCCCACCCGAGTGGCTTCCCTGGAGCATCTCCAGCCTGCTCCGGCCCCTGGGGCCAGGAGGAGCGTCCTTTCTGTTCAGCCACCCACCGTCCGATCTGCAGAGGCGGTGAGGTGCAGGGGCTGGGCCAGACGGAGCCAGACGGCATGGGCTTGGGTCTCGGCTTTGCCGTGACTAGCCGTGTGTGACCCAACTGGGGCCAGTGAAAACTGGGGGGATGATTTTCCAAGGGGTTCAGGATCTGGAGAATTTTCTCTCCTTTTTCCAGGAGCTACCATCTAAAGAGCTGTTCTCGCTCTAGGCCAGTGCGACCCCCAGAGCGGCAGAATATCGCTTTGGCCGCTGTGACTGGATTAGAGGGTCCGGGGCTGCAGCAGGGCAGCTGAGAGGGAGAGCGACGCACCCCCTCTGGTTGAAGCCCCGTTACTTAGGGTGGCATTGGGGCCCCGTGGCACGAGGGTACGATACCCTCCTTTCACAGAAGAGTCACCTGGACCTCCGGAGACCAGTGACCTGTCCGAGGTCACGCAGCTGAAACGGGAGCCACAGCGTGTCTCCAGCTCTCCTCCTCCGGGGGTTGGACGTCTCCCTCCGCATCACTCTGTCCCTTTCAGAGCCGAGAGGACAGCCCTGTCCTGCTTCCTCCTGGCCCCGGGGCGAGGGCTCTGGGCAGCTCTGGAGCAGACCCTCGGGTCACAGTCGGAATTCCGCCCATGGGCACAGCAGGCTGCAGAGATTCCACGCTGGTTTCCCGGGGCTGTGCTGACTGACGCGCTGGCTTCTCCCTGCGCTTCCTCTACGGCGGAGTGAAACGTGGCAAAGTGAAAATGAGCGCCTTACGAGGTCCCCGATGAGTTCCTTCTCCGAAGAACAGAAATCGACTACCAAATGTGCCAGTATGAACCGAGTTTTAGGCTATTTGTTTTCCATGCATGGAAAACAGTCAAAACTCAGAGAGAGAAGCAGCCGAGGATATTGTCTGAGACCCGCCAGGGCGAGTTTGGGCGAGTATCGATCATCACGCGCTCAGCCCTGCGGCCGCGTCCTATGCTCCAGGAACACACGGAAAGCCACCCCACCCGCAAGCCCTCGCTTCATAGGAACGCGCCTTCCTCTCCTGTGCCTGGCGACTTCCATTCGTTCTTCAAGGCCTGGCTCAGGAGTTGCCTCACTGCAAGATGCACGTCTAGCCTTCGCCTGCACACTTCCACTAACAGGAAGCTCACTACCACAGAGGGTGGTATCTCTGACTGTGCCTTAGCGGACTGGGGTGGCCGAAACATCAGTTATTTCTAACAGGACTGGGGGCTGGAAGTCTGAGATCAGGGTGCCAGCCTGGCAGGGCTCTTGGTGGGGGCCTGCGTGCTGGTTTAGTTGGCAGCTTTCTTGCTATGTCCTCACGTGGTGGGGGGAGAGAGCACGCTCATCCCTTCATCCTCTTCAGGGCACCAGTCCCATCGTGCAGGCTCCCACTTCATGACTTCACCCAAACCCGGTCACCTCCCAAAGGCCCCAGCTCCCGGTCCCATCGCGTTGAGGGTTAAGGCTTCGACACGTCGACTGCGCTGGGGAAAAGCATTCACTCCACAGCAGACTGGTTTAGGGTTCTCCCCTGGACCCTCACTCCGCTCGACTGTCCTTCCCATCCTCGCATCCACCATACTCTACCTGTCGCCTTGTCTGTCTCCCGGAGGCAAGGAATCCTGCCTTGTTCATTTTTATGTCCCCAGGGCTTTAGCAATGGCCGGGCCTGGAACAGGTTTTCATTGAGTGTTTGTTGACTGTCTAACTGACCAAATAAAAGACTGGATGAAGCGATGTGGCAGTCAATCCTGTCATACCTCTTCCTCCTTCACTCCTTAGAGATGCCACGCTGTCTACAGGAGTTGCGAACATTCCATCCCAACTCACTTTTTCAGTCTGACCTCAGATGCGGGGCCACGCTCGCCACGATTTTTGTCATTACTGGTGTGCGCGTTGGGGTTGGCGCTGCAAGGAGCTGTAACTTGGGCTGTTTTCTGAGTTTAGGGGTACATGACATTCACATGGCTCGGAAGGGGTCTCGCCCAGCGATTCCTGACGAGCGCCCTCTGTGCACACGGGGGAAGGGCCTGGAAAGTGCAGACGCAAAGACGCGCCCCTTGTCTGCATCACGGAACGGGGGCGGGGGGTGGGGACGACGGAGCGCACGGGGCTCAAGTCCCGCCCGAGACCCCCTCATCGGGCGATCGCTGTGGACGCCGGGGCGTCTTCTCAGTCGTAGCAGGAACCGTGACTCCCGCTTCGCAGGCTGATTCTGGCACCTTCCTGAATCGTTCCAGGACAGAGCACCAAAGCCCGCCTGAATGTCGCGGCTACTACTGCTGCAGCTACTGCCCGCTGTCCACTCCTACGCCACCGGCCCCTTCCCTTCCCTTCCCCCTTCTCGGTCCCTGCGGTGGGGTGACCCCCCGTGTGGGCATTTACCAAATGAACGAGGACAGGTGCCACTCTCTCATGGGGACCTACAAGGCCACAACCCGGGAGACGTGCGTCTGCCGGGAGGGGACAGTCAGCCTCGAAGGGCAGAGCGAATCCTCTCTAGATCTGCCCTCTGCAGGGCATGCGGACTCCCTGTCATGCCTCCCTGTGAAGTCCCGCAGTGGGTGCCCGGCAGAGGGCGCCAGACCAGGCGTCGGACGAAGGGAATCAGCCCACCAGAGGCCACCGCCGTACCCCGCGGCCTGTCTCCCACTCATCCTCTTAGATGTGGGGTAAAGCTTCCTGTGAACAGCTCAGCCACCCTTAGCTGCTTTGCGGGGCCCACGGCAGGGTCAGAGTGTTGCTGATGAAAAGAAGGAGCTGGAAGCTCAAGAGACAAAACCGGGTCGTGGGCCCCGCCGCCCCGGCCCCCTGAGCTCACCGCTCCTAATGAGAGCACCTCGGGGACATCGGTGCTGCAGCGCTGGTGCCCCGGACACTCGTCCCTCCCCCTTATCTTCACAGGGATCGGAGCGAACTTATCACGGGGGAAGCAGCAAAAGGAAAAAGAAACCCTGACAAAGAACGAAGTGACCCTCTGACTTCCTCCCGGTCCGTCTGACTTGACCTCCTCCCATGTCTTGGTCACGGGCGGGAAAGCAGGGTCTTCAAACGTCCCAGGCTCCGCCGTGCAGAGGGAAGCAGCACAAAGCACCAGATGCAAGAAAGACAAGGCCTCAGGGACTCCCCGCGCACCCTGCTGAGATCTGGGGCACTCCCCGCCCCCCACGAGTTTCAGCACCCTCCCCTGCACGTATCCTGACTTCATAAAGCCTGCAAGGCCCCCCTTGCCACTCTAAGTTGGGTCATATGACCTGCTTTGGCCACTGGGATGGCAGCAATGTGACACAGGTGGAGGCTTGAATGATCGGGCTTTTCCTGCTCTGGCTTCTGCTGTGGCACCTGAGGCCACGCGGGCCTGGGCTGCCACACAGGAGCCACGAGGAGCAGGGCTGAGTCACCTAGTCAAGCAGCCAAGGCCAAGGGGTACCAGCCGGCAGCCAGGCGACCCTCCCTCAGATGTGCGAGCCAGCATAGCCAACATCATCATAGCTGCCGGCTGACCCCACCCGACCTCGGTGTTAGAAGCAAGCCCTGCCTACCAGAGCTTAAGCCCACAGACCTGCGAGCTACCTAGCCGCTTCCTGCTTATGCCATTAAAGCCACGTGGTTATTCCTCACCCGGCCTTACTGTACCAAGCGGACGTGAGTGCGATCCTTCCCCCCGCCTCCACGGTTTAAGCTCCCCACTCCCCAGAGCTCCGGCCCTCAGCCCCAAAGCACGTTGTTCTCCTCACCCGCTCCTCCCGGGCTCTGCCTTCAACTCCATTTCCCCTCCAGGTTGGTCTCTCTGCCCTGGCTGCTGGCCAAGAGACCCCGAAGCTCAGAGCAGGGTGGCCTCGCCCATTCTGGGGGATGAAACTCAGCCTGAAAAGTCGGAAAGCAAAGCAGATGCCGGGGCTGCAGGGGACCTTCTGGGAGAGTCTTGGACTTTGTGTGACTGGCAGAGTTTGAACATTATTAATGAAATGTGAATGTGTTTATCTTGTTTATATTTCATTGGAGACACTTCTGAGAACACATTTAATGAGATTGATGACCGACCTCTTTAGATAGCAACACATAGTTATCTGTTTCGTGAACAGTTTTGTGATGCAATTAACAAAAGGTTAAGGGCGTGTCATGCATAGCATGGTGACAAAAGTTAATAATATTGTATTATCTATTTGCAGTTTGCTAAGAGGGTGCATCTTAAATGTTCTCACCACGCACAGTGAAAGGGGACTGTGAGGTGATCACTGTTAATTAACCTGATTACAGCAACCATTCCACGGACATTAAATCATCGTGTGGTACACTTTGAAAAATAACATCGTACAGCTTAAATATATACAGTGTAACCCCCAACCAGACTTCAATGAAGCTGGATTTAAAAAAAGCAATGACCACCGAGGAAAAAAATCAAAAAGCTGACGCGCATCCCTGGTCATACATCAGGGAGAGGAGAAAGGCCGGCTCCTCTCTGTCCCTCTCTCCTTGGAACAGAGGCTGGTCCTGCATCTGCGCTGGGTGTCCCTGAGGGCCCTTGTTCAAAGTTCACTTCTGAGAATTCCCTGCTCCTGAATTCCCTTTCTGGGTTGCCCGTAAAAGTACTCGTTGGATGGCAAAGAGAAAGGAGAATAAGCCATTCTCCCTTTAGTATAAAATAGTGATTTCAGCATTCTGTCCCTACACCGAGCAGAGACGCTTGAGGACATGGGAGCTTAGAGAAGAAAGACGGGGGGTCTGGTCCAGAGGCCCTGGGGGAGTGTGCAAAGCCGAAAGGCAGGGTTAGTACCCCGGGTAAGCTGCGTGGGAGGCGGCGGGGGATGGGGAGCTCAGAGAGAGGGGAGGAGGTCTGGGAGGAGAGAAAGGGCTGCGGCGAGAGGCTGAGCACAAGTGCAGGAAGGGAGGGGGAGGGAGGGACGGCTGCTGGCCAAGACGGAGGACGGGGGAGCACGGAGGAGGCTGGCGCCTGGGAGCGGCCTGCCCGCCCTGTCATCCCGTGCAGCGGCTTTGGGGCACCGAGGCCAGCGCTGTGAACCGTGGCGTCATTCGCGCCCGGGTCATCCCACGGGCTCTCTGAGTCTCACCTGCTCGGAGGTGAAATGGCTGGATTATTCCTACTACCTCGTGTTCCCACCTTCGTTTTGCTCCCGGACAGCTGTCCAGGGCCTGGAAGTCTCAAAGGTGTGTCTCAGTCATCCATCCTGCCCAGAACCTGCCCTCCGGGCCCCTGGCACCCCGGACGGCCCCCCACGCGTCCTGCATGACCCAGCCTCTTCTCACCTGCTTCTGCGGCCTGACTTTGCCCTGCCGAGCAGAGAAGGGACAGGGAGAGACTGGGTCACATAGCCTTCCAGGGCGCCCTTTATGTCCTGGTGCCATGATGGCAGCTGACCTCCACTGTCTCGTCTCAGGCCTTTCCCACCCCTGCAAGGTGGTGTCACCCCTGCTTTACTGCTGGCAAGGCCAAGAGAGGTGACGTGACTTGCCCAAGGACACACAGCGAGCTAAGGAGCTGGCTCGGCTCCAAGTCCTGGGGTCCTGACCGTCAGACGCAAACTAGGGTCACGATTTGCATCCTGAGCTCTGCCCGGTTCCCCTGGCATCCTCAGGCCATGCCTGGCCTTCCACTCAGGAGCACAGAGCACATGATTTCACGGCCCCAAGGCACTCAGATGGTTTCAGCATCCAGCAGGAGATTCGTGCTAGCTGGTCCCACCTGCCACTCCTCGACCACCTCCTAACATCCAGGGGCTTACGCAACGAGATGGGCCACCTGTGACACGTGGGCAGCACATCTGGGCTTCTCGAGGGGCCTCGAGAAGGAGCCACGGCCTCAGCCTGTGGGGCGGTGGAAGGGGTCTGGAGAAGTATGCAGAAAAGGCAGAGGCTCATCCCTGAGAGACTCAGCAGAAGTTCAGCAAAATGCCCACTGCTCACTCCAGCCCATCCTTCCGAAGGCCCCAGGGAGGTGAACCCCCAAAGCAGTCAGTGTGGTCAATGAGTCCAGCTGGCTGCAAAGCTGCTGCTCACAGTGGCTGCAGTGGACAATCAGGTCGGCCGTGCTGTGCACCGCTGGGCTGTGCCCGAGACCTGAGGTCCTGACTAGCTGAGCAGCACCTCCCTGAGGCTGACCCGGAACACAGAGGCCCAGGCTGCCTGAAGCAGAACAGGGTTCTGTCCAGCCCTGATTCTTGCCAAGGCCCCTGGAGAGTCACTGAGGCTAGAGATGGAGAGCCACTGGCATGAAGCTTCGCTTCTCAGCACGTGGTCCATGCACA